AAACAACTTGAATTTATCTGAAAACAGCTGAAATTAGCTAAAAATGTAGCTGAAAACATAGAACAAGCTTAAAATAGCAGAAGACAGCAGAAAGAACACATTTGCTGAATGGAGCAGAAATTAGCACAAAAAAGTGGAAATTATATGGAAAAAGCTGAAATTAGCACACAAAAAACACAGCTGAAAAGTAGCTTAAAAAGCAAGAAGGAAGTGGAGAGAGCACATTTGTTGCTGAATTAGGCTGAAAAAGGTTTGAGTATAAAAAATGTGGAATTAGCTGAAAAAGCTTAAATTAGCATGCACAAGTTGTATAGTAGCTGAAATAGTAGAAAAAGCTGAAACTTGCAGGAATAATTTGAAAGGAACATAAAAAGCTGAAATTACCAGAAAGAAGTTAGAAGAAGCAGAACAATGTTCCTTTTAGCAGAAAGAATTGGGAAGGAACACGAAACTGCTGAAATTTGCTGAAAATAGCTGATTTTATTTACTTATTCATACAATTAATCTGAAAAAGCTGAAGCAGAACAAAAGGTTGTAAACGCATCTAAAAATTTGAAGGATGTCAAATGAGCTCAATTCATTTTCTCTGAGGAAAAAATGGCAGAAAAGGCTAAATATTTCAACAAGCTAAAGTTACACCAATACCAAAAGTCATATCAGGATTGTCCTGAAAGAGCTGAACGTTTTGATGATTTGTTGAATTAGCTTGAAAACTGGGGGACGAGAATCGTGCCAAAAAACATACGAAAGAAAAATGGATCACATTCACACTATAAAAAATGAACTCCACAAGTTAATGTATCTTCCAGTTTCTTTACAGCAGTCTTTACTTTATGACTCTTACGTGAATAATTGTGTTCCAACATTTGAATTTTGAAGAAGGAATTGGTGCTTTTTGGTATTTAAAGGCGTTCTTTTACTTCCCACAGCATTGGTGAAACGTGGAAAAACTGCCTGGAGGGCGCGACTGATTTCAAAGAGGTGAAAGTGTTTTTTTTGTTTTTTGTAGTTAACAAAGGATTGACTTAATGAGTTGTGGATTATGGGAGTATCTTAATCCATCCATCCATTATCTTTTACCCGCTTCTTCCATTTTGGGTCACGGAGGTCGCCGGTGCTCATGTCCAGCAATCACTGTGCGAGGGGCAGGGTACACCCTGGACAGGTCTCCAGTCCATCACAGGGACACATAGAGACAAACGAGACAAACAGCTATTCACTCTCTCACTCACCTAGGGACAACTTGTTTTAGAGTTACCAGTCAGTCTAACATGCACGTGGGAGGAAACCGGAGTACCCGGAGAAAACCCACGCATGCACGGAGAGAACATGCAAACGCCACCCAGAAAGGCCGCCGGACCGGGATTTGAATCGGGAACCTGCTCGCTGAGAGGCATCAGCTCTAGCAGTCGCGCCACCGTGCTGCCTGAGTATCTTAATATACAAAATAAATGTTAAGCACCCAGAATGAATTGTTTTAGATGTATTTGGTCCACAAGTGGCACAATGATGAGTACACAAATTATGGGATTTACCATCAGCTGGTTGGTCTAGGCTGGTACAAGTGGCGGCCTCACAAGTGCAGTGAGTGTTATCAGGCAGTTGCTTGAATGAAAACGGTGAGTAATGGTCAGCAGACACAGGATGCCTCATCGACACTTTAGACAGGATTTGATGGGGTATGATAGAGGTCATTGTGGGTTTGCATGAGACTGGGCGGTCAGTTTGTGCAACTGGCTGGTGTGCGGACATACAGATGTTACGGTGGCCCACTGTTAAAGCCAATGGATACCTGAAGGAACTCATGCGTGTTGTGAACGTTCTGGTCAGGAAGGATTGTCCTGCTCTGTGCGCCACATATCACAGAACCCCATGACATCTGTGTCTGCAGTTTGGGCACAGGTATTGAGCTCTTTACAACATTGTGTCAAAGACCAATTTCAGCCAAACTACAGGTTCGTTGTTGTACAAGAGGCTGCCATTAGACCAGTATCTCACTGGACTAGTGTTTGCAACTAGCTAGTGAACAGGGTTCACGAAGGAGTCGCCAAAGTGTCTCAAAATGGGCGTCTTGAGCATGTCTCAAGAACTCTTGAGTTCCACCGAAGTCCTTGCTCAATAATCCAGGTATAAAATCCAATCCAAAACTCTTGAGTTGCATTTTGATACAGAGGAGCTCTCCGACAGAAAACATCCAATACTACAGTGGTCCAAAAAAAACACAACCAGTGGTCTATATCTGCAAAGTGTCATTTCTAAAGTCTACTCCAGAACATTAAGTCATAATTGGGTACAAATTGGGCTGAGGTGAGCAACAGTGTCATCCTCCTTCCTCCATCTCACTTCACAAATGCTGCAAAGCCGTCACATGAAAATAGGCTACAATTTTCCAAAAGCTGGCCACTCAAAGCACAAGCTATATGTCTTGCTGGTCACATGGTCACAAAACTGTATAGTTTCCTGCAATCTGAGGCAGCACGAGTATCGTGGATAGCACTGTTGCCTCACTGCAATGAGGTCCTGGGTTCAAATCCTGGGTTGGGCCTGGGGTCTTTCTGTGTAAAGTGTACATGTTCTCATGTTTGCATGAGCTTTTTGTAGGTTTACATACTTTGGTTTCCTCCCACAGTCCAAAACGTGCATGCTTATACTACCATCAGGCCACCGCCACAAAACAGATCTGTGATCTCAGTGGGATTTTTCTGGTGAAATAAAGGTTAATGTGAGATCTTACCTTTAACACCAGAGCAGAGACATCTGTGTTTGAAGCAGTGTCATAACCAGGAGGCAATGATTTATGACGAGTTGCGTTGCCATGTTCAGCAACGAATCTTGGCTACGTATTACCAGAGAAGACCGTTGAGTGCACCTACGGTGGCGCCGAGGCAAGGGGACAAATCCTGCCCATGTTCCATCCCCATGTCCTGTTGTGGGGAGACAAAGGGTCTGGGTTCAGGTCAACTCTGAGTGATTCGGGGGACTCTGATATTACAATGCTACACCCTTCCAACAAGACGGCAACCTGTCGACACGTCTGTGTCCATGGACTGACTGCATCATGTTGAGGTCCTCTCTTGGTCATCCAGGTCCTCCAATCTTTCCCAATCCACCTTTTAAGATCAGCTTCATAGTTACTGCAGACAGTGCTGATCTGCTGGATTTTGTGGTTCACTTTCAGCAGCTGTGGGCCGTATGACGGCGCTATGACTCAGTTCTACATGGAGTCACTGCTTGTCTCCGAAGAAGGTCCACACCCTACTGACCTGGGACCAGCATTGTGCTTATATTTACCACTGATATCTTGATTGTTGTAATTGTTGTTGACATTTTTAACAAATGTAGTGTGGTTGCATGTCCACCACTCCATCGGGGTGCTTAACAATTTTAAACAAAAATACATCCCTTGTCCAAAAGGTTAAGGTTTTCTTCCATTGTCTCTGCTGCAGCTGATACCAGAGTTTTATGGAAGTGACTCCAGCTTCCTGAAAAACAGACTAAATCTGGACTTGGGCAAAAAGCAGAACGGAAAATCGGTCTGTGATGTTTCCCTTCCCCCCTGGGCCTCAGGTAAGAAATCTTTGTGGCTCTCTCCTTGCAGCCCTGGTGTTAACCGTTCACCGAGTCCAACCGTCGATTGTCCGTTTTGTCTTGGTCGTTCCTCCAGATTTTAGTGATTTTCTTCAGAAGCACAAGGCAGCGCTGGAGAGTCCGTTTGTGTCGGAGCACCTTCATGAGTGGATTGACTTGGTGTTTGGCTTCAAACAAAAAGGCAGCGAGGCTGTGGCAGCTCATAACGGTAAAACAGCTTCTAATTTCAACGCTAAGCTCACCAAAAAATGCTCAAAGAGTAAAGTTTGTCTTTTCATTATTCAGTGTTTCACCCATTGACGTATGAAGGTGAAATCGACTGTGACAGGTGAGAAAAGAAATCAATCCAGAGTAACCGTTTCCGGTACTTCATGTCTAACTTTGCCCTCTGCCTCTTTGGAAAGTATCGAGGACACGGATCAGAGGATCGCCATGCTGACTCAGATCCTGGAGTTCGGTCAGACGCCCAGACAGCTCTTCACCGGGCCGCACCCTCAGAGGATCACGCCGAGGCTTCAGAGCACCAGACGGAGTTCCAGCATCAACTCGGCTGCCAGCGAGCTGTCGCCAGGTAGCGCCAAAAACCCTCCAACCACAGCTCAACCGGAGGCATTCACCATTATACTATATGCACAAAGGTCCTTTCAAGATGGCCGCCAGAAATCTCGCCCAGAATAGATGTTGGAAACAAAGTGCAAAGGAAAGCTAGGATATTTAAGATATTTTGCACGTTTCTCATTTAAAGCACCTTGAAATCTTTAGACATATTAAAAATAGTTCAGTTTAATTAATTTTCTATATTTTTATTTAATTTTATGAGACTTAAGAAGTCTGACATTTTATTTATAAAGAACACAATCTGATGCAGAACCTCTACCCACCTGAGTCTCAAGGCCGTCTTTGTCCCACTGGACCTTCCTCTTAATGGTACTCAAACAAATTAAGTATTTTTTTGTAGTTTAATAAGATATCGCTGCTTGTGGTGCTCAAATTTTTACATTTTTGGTGTCGAACACAAATCCTTACTAGTTTAGTTTGCTTCAAGATTTTTTTGTAAGATTTTTTTAATTCTTGCACAGTGAGTCAGATAAAATTGCAACCAAAACTTTGCATTTCATAATAAAACTAAGGATATTTATTGAAAATAAGAGGCTATACCTGCGTGGGAGAACATAAAACTGGACATGAACAAATAAAACTGACAGAACTTGTGACTAAAAGAAACATTTGAAATAAAATGGCTTCTATGGATCAAATAAAGAGACTCCTGCCAAATTCTGAAATACATGAAAATTAGGGGAAAAAAAGTTATTTTATTTAACCTTTATTCATACAGGTGGTCTCACTGAGTCACAAGGACTCGTTTTCAAAAGAGACAACACAAAGTACAGACAACAATACACAATAACAAGAAACTATTACTGGTAAAATAAATATAGTTTTATAAAAATACTGTTACTGTTTGCAGCATGGTCCTGTTAGCAGTGTGGTCCTGTTTGCAGCATGGTCCTATTAGCAGCATGGTCCTGTTAGCAGTGTGGTCCTGTTTGCAGCGTGGTCCTGTTAGCAGCGTGGTCCTGTTAGCAGCATGGTCCTGTTAACAGAGCGATTCTGTTAGCAGTGAGGTTCTCTTAGCAGCATGGTCCTGTTTGCAGCATGGTCCTGTTTGCAGCATGGTCCTGTTAGCATTGAGGTTCCGTTAGCGGTGTGGTCCCATTAGCAGCAAGATCCTGCCGGCGACCAGCATGAAGTTCCAGTAGAAAATGGTTGGTCTGGCCATCAGTGAGAAACAGCTTTTTATAAATTACTGAACTATTTTAAGCTGGACAGCTGTGAGGCTTCACAAAAACAATTTTCAAACAGGTTCTGTTGACGCCTCATCTCGACTAGAATCTGGTGTTTACTCTCTGCAGTAACGTTCTGTCACTAAAACCCTGTGCCGTTCGCAGCCTCTCCATGCGAGGACTCTTCCTTCGAGGACCTGACTGAAGAGAGCAGAAGGATGGCCTGGGCGAACATGGGAAGTCTGAAACTGATCTCCAGCTGCAAAGTCCATAAGGAGTAAGTGAGGAGCACGTTTGGCCACATGAACGTTACTTTAGCTGCTCCACCATGTAATTCTGTTTAAAACAGAACTGAGCTCAGCTGGCTTACAGGATGTGCTTTCAGTTCCTTCTTCTGTTGTTCAATGTGCAGAGCTGTGACGGGGATCGCCGTGACTCGAGATGGAGCTTCAATTTTCTCTACATCTCAAGGTGGGTGGGGGGGGGGGTGAAATTAGACAAAAACAGAAGTATAGTACAAGAAAGAGTTTATAGTTTAATGATACAAACCTAAATTGATTAGTTAATTTTGTCCCTCTTCTCAAAAAATAGGCAAGGTGCCGACTTCCATTTTCGTACGTGGCTGCATCTAGGTGTGAAGAAGGTCACTATCGAAAATTGGGTTGCCGCGTCAAAATCCAAGATGGCCACCACCCTGTGTATATATACGTAAACTGACCACCCCAATAATTTGAGAAAACTATTCTTTTTCATTTGTTTGTTGCTTAAAAGTGTCAAATTATTGGGGTGGCCGAAGATTCATCTATAGTGGCTAAGGCCACCATTGGCCACCCCTTGGCTCCGCCCATTGTGCCTGGTGGATAAAATGGCTTCCTCCATTTGCCAGGATTTTCCTTTTCTCCCTTTAGGCCTGATTTAATTGTTTTTCTGTGGAGTCTAAATGTCCTGTTTAAGTCATGAGTTCCTTTTTGTTCCAGACTCGACCCTTAAAATGTTCTCCAAAGAGCTGAAGGAGTTCCAGAGGAGCATGTCCTTCTCCAACATGGTACCCAGCTGCATCCACTCACTTCCTGTTTCCTGTTTTTATGACCTGCAGCTGCTCTGATCTGTAAAACCACTTCACTGTTTTCCAGCCGCTGTCCTCGTGCTTGATGCTGCCGGACGGCAAAACCGTGGCGTGTTCTTCGTGGGACAACAACGTGTGAGTGTGTCTGCGCACATCTCAGGTGGTTTTGCATTCCTCCTTTTTTTAAAATCCCTGATCTCTTCTCTCCTCTCCGGCAGATATTTCTACTCGGTCCCATACGGGCGGCGGCAAGACACGCTGATGGGTCACGACGACGCCGTCGCAAAGATGTGCTGGTTCGAAGACCGGCTCTTCACCGCTTCCTGGGATTCCACCGTTAAGGTACACACGAGTTAGGTCCATGTTTTAAAACGTTCAAAGCTGCAGGAGATGGAGCTAGACGAGGATGTTTCCCTCCTCCTCAGGTCTGGCAGTGTGCTCCGAACAGCTCGTCCAGTCGCAAGAGGTCCCACTTTGAGCTGCTGGCTGAGTTGGAGCATGACGCTGGGGTGAGTGAGACGCTACCTGGGCAGGTTCAACAAACTTCTTTAAGAGATCTGCTTCAGCAGACAACGACAGTGACAAATCACACTTAGTGGTGCTACAAAGTAGCGATACACAATAAATCAGTTAATCGCATGATAAATGAAAATTATCGACCGCATTTTCATTTATCGGCTTCATCGTTTCTTTGTGTCTCGCTCGTTCTACTGAAGACGCTGGACGACAAAAGGCTCAACTCCGGTGCTCTTCACCGACCCCTCCCTTTCTCTTTAAAATCTGTTTTAACCGTACAAAATTGCGTTTTTGGATCGTTAAAAGCAGCTAAGCTGAGAAGCTAACAGGCCGACCTCGGGAAAAACCTCCGTCTTGTCAAAGCTCCAAAACTCACCGTTGAAACCCGTGCCTTCATCTAAAAAGTAGTTTTTCTCTGCAAAAAGAAGCTGAGAACTTGTTTACTGATTAAAAAAAAAATATATATTAAAAGCTTTGTGTGACAAATGCTATGCTAAAGAACTGAAACCACATCAAGCATCCGCCATTTTGAAAACAGAAATGAGAGACAGCCCATGTCACGTCAAGGGGCCTCCCTTCTATTTTTCTTAGAGACATGCTGCTTGCTCCCTCACTATCCCTCCTTTGGTTCAAACTGTCTTATACTGCCTCCAGTGGTCAAAAAAAGGCGCTACACACAACAATTAACCAACATTTCTTCCTAAATTTGACAATAATTACTAATTATTGTCAAATTCCAAACATTATCGTTTATCGCAATAATTTCTGAGACAATTAATTGCCCAGCAAAATTAGTTATTGTGACAGGCCTACTACAAAGCTGGTTATGTACCTCGGTAGGTGAACCGAGGAGGACCAATGGAAGGACGACACATCAGTGATCTGCTGAGTACGACTCACAGCTACTCGCTTACAAACTTTAGCTCATTATCTACAAAATCAACAGAGCTAAACCCATTTTTTGTGCTCGCTAATGTCAAATGCTAACGTGTGGTTACTGTCAGTTTTCTTAAAATCTGTCCAATGGTGCATGAGATATTTTGCTAATAGGGACACACGGTCAAAACAATCTTTCTGCAGCAGGTGATGTGAAGCTACCGATAGCCGCCACATCATTAAAGCACGAGTTGATCCAACCATTACTACAGAATTCAAATATATGCTATTATTCTACGAGCGCTGCTTTTAATATGACACTAACCTGATTCTGTTTGAGGGGAATAAAGATTCAGTTCAGTTAAAAAAAGTTATTTTTAAAATTACAACTAGCCTCTTGGTTACTGTTAATAAAGGTTTTCGAAGTTCCTGCAGTGACTATGATGAGCTTTGTGCACAGACGGGTTTACCGGTACGTTCCAGAAATCCCTGCAATAGGTGAAAATCCGCAAAGTAGGTACATTATATTTATTTAACTATTTATATATTTTAAGGCTTTATAAACCCTTCCCACACTCTTACAACGTTCAACTCTCTAAAGCTTATGTATCAAACTCGAGGCCCGGGGGCCAAATATGGCCCTCATTGACATCTTATCTGGCCCCCAAGATGTTAATTTAAATGTAAAATACTTTTATCACTTTAATTTTATTTCCATAATCTTTGATTATGATGTCAAAAGTGCAACAGAGAACATCAAATGAGACCATTCAAACTCTTGTTGAGGAACCTGCGACCAAGAAAAGATGTTGATTCTGAAACCGGCCCTTAGTTTGAAAAAGGTTTTAATTTTGGCCCCTTTTTCTAAACGCTCTAAAAGAGCACAGCGAAAGAGAGCTTTCTCTCAGGTTGCGCTTGATTATTTTAAATAATCCATGACGCTCGTACGGCTCACTCTGGTATAAGACAGACCACCCCCCTCCTTTCTCTTTCCGAGGCTGTCCCTCGAAAAGAGAAAGGAGGGGCGAGGGGTTCTGTCTTATACCCGAGTAAGCCACACTCAGCCATTCTCTTTAAAAAAAAAAATAAAAAAAATTCACTTTTATTTTTCCACCTAAGCATTTTCTCCAATAATTCTACATTTGTTCATCTGATCTGTTCATCCCTGCTCCCTGAGCAGTAGCGAGGAGGACAGACCACACCCCTCCTTTCTCTTTCTGAGGCAACTCTGCTCTGCTGTGACAGACAGACTTGGAAAGATAAAGGTGGAGGTGGGGTCTGTCTTTCCCCATCGCCAGTCTATGTTGTGTACAACCTTGTGTTGAAAACCTGCGAAAGAGTGAATCCACGAAAGTTGAACCGCGAAGTATCGAGGGACAACCGTATTTATAAAACAATACTTCCTGATCTAAAGTTTATAGGAAAACATTTTCCACTCTCGGACTCAGACACACTAATAGAACTGGTAAAATATTTACATTTTTTAAAAGCCTACAATCTGCAGCTCCAGAGCAGGTAAGGTTTCTGGCATCCGTTACCATGGCAACAGACCCTGGTTAAAATAAAGGCGAACCAGCTGTTTGAATCCAGTATCTCCGAGGAGACGTGTTAAAGTTGAAATAAAGCGAGAGATGTTGTGTGTGCAGGTGAACGTGGCGGACATGAACCCAGGGGGAACTCTCCTAGTGTGTGGCTCCAAAGACGGCACCGTCGCCATCTGGGACACCGGCAGCTACCGGACCCTTCAGCAGGTCCACTGCCACACCGGGACCATCCACTACGTTGCCTTCAGTCCAGGTAACTTGTCCTGTTCCAGCCAAAAACAAAACGTTCTTTGTCGCAGTTAAACTTCTAGTTCCAGTTCGAGTGTTTCCTTGTTCTGAAATAATTTAACATCCTTCTCTCCGTTAGGCACTCTTTGGAGGAATGCATATCACCCGCCCATAGCACCTACTTTTTCTGAAAATCAAAGATGGCTGCCATTTTGTTTATGAAAAACTGCTTTGTCCTGTAAACGTTGACACTGAATATACCACTTCAGTCTTGAATGTGAGAAGTTGAATGTTTCGTTGTCAACTTTTTCAATAACGGGGTCATTATTTACTTATAAATATTTCAATTGATAACCTCACAAGACCTTCAAGTCCCTCCTTTGTGGTATTATTATTTTTACACTTGCAATTTGTAAAATGACGTTCTTGACTCCAGAGTTTAATTCAGCATGCCCAGAAACCTTTATTTTGATGCAAAGATTGGAAAATGTGAATAATTCAATATCAATTCAGGTCATAAACTACAAAAATGCAGTATATTACATACGATGGAGGCCATCTTAAAAAAAATGTCCGCTGTTGATTTTTAAAAAAAATATATAGGTTCAGATTTGTACAAAACGTCATGCTTGTGTATATAATGTGCAGAACTACGGAGAACCTCGACATTTATTTCTCAGAATGTGTGTTGAGGATGACTCTCAGCTACTACCACTCCAAGTTTTCCTTCAGTATCTGTCAAACTGAGTTCTATATGTACATCCGGTGGTTATTTCCTAATTTTACTGATGTTAATGCTAATACTGCTAATTCTACCAATGTTAATGTTAGTATTGCTGTTAACATAATTGTATGTCATACATCAACAATTGAATTGGAGCCAGTTATATTGTATTAACAGAACTAGCGTTAGCAGTTACACATGCAGATTGCCCTCTCACTCCTCACAATAGGGGTTCGTTAGGGTCTTTGTTAGTCTGACTCACAGATGGACCACTGGTCACATGGTTGACAGTTTCTTCAGTAACAGACAACAATAATGCGTAGAAAAGCAGCACATGCAGCTTTGACAGTTTTTATTAAACGATGTTGGTGTTGCCGCCTCAGACAGCCGACACGTTCTCAGCGTGGGCGAAGACTTCTTCATGAAGGTGGTGGACGTGCAGACAGGAATGGTGACGTCTTCTGTGAAGGCCGAGGAGCAGCAAAGGTGAGAACCCCGCCTGGGTTTCTGCTCCTTACCGCCAGGCTATGGAGACAAACGCAGTGGAAGTCAGAGGTGGAACTTGTGTGTCTGCAGGTGTTTCTGCTGGGACGGGAACACGGTGCTAAGTGGGGCGCAGAGTGGTGACCTCCTCCTCTGGGACCTGCTCAGTGGTACGATCACCAAAAGGATCCCTGCGCACTCAGGTAGATCAAATGCTCAGTGGGGATCTGTGGGAAAAAAAAGCTTTAAACAGTATCTTACCTGTTGTAGATACCTCTTTCTTTAAATGATAGTTTGGATTGATGAGCTAACGATTAGCCCAAAGTGGGTTGTTGCCATCTTGAAACAGTATTTTTTTTTCTGCTGTTTTGTACAGTGATGCAGCAGCAGCTAGCTGTGGCTCTGTCAAAAATAATCAGCTGATGAGTCTTTCTGTTTGGATTTTTGAGATAATCTTTGGACTGACTACATGAATATCACGTAAAGTACCATGTACATTATTATGAGGGTGGTAAAACCCACCTTGGGTTTGCTCATCCTTTCTAATTCATGCACCCTTTTTTTTTTTTTAAACCTTTATATGGTTATTATGTGAATGTTTATGAAGCATTCACACTATTGTGATCCGTTTTTCGGTGTAATTCTCGTCCTGCAGTCGAGCTGTTTCAACAAACCATGAATCAACACGTTCAGTATTCGTGCAACTTTAGTTTTTTGAAATATTTAGCCTTTTCTGTTATTTTTTCCTCGTAGAAAATTAATTGATCGCATTTTACATCCTTCAAATGTTTAGATCTGTTTACAACCTGTTACTGCTCCTTTTAGGATCTGTCTGCTAAATTTATCCATTTTAGTTAATTTCACTTTTTTTTTCTTACCGTAACGTAATTCAGTAAATGTCATTTCTGCTAATTTAGGCTTGTTCTTCAATAAAAAGAATGCACCAGAACTGAGTTCTTTAAAGACGAGTTATTTTAGGATGACGATAACGCAGTCAGCAAAGTGAATTTTGATCTGGGAACCCTGAACCATTTGATAGTAAACCTGTTTCAAAGCTACAACTTTCAGGGAAATCTGGAGATATGATGTCATCAGATTTCTGTCGTGGTGAAAGCTGTCTCGTTTGTCCAGGTGCCGTCACAGCCATGTGGATGAACGAGCTGTGCAACAGCGTCATCACCGGCGGAGACGACAAACGGATCCACTTCTGGGGGCTCCAGTGTTAAAGACTGATCTCGACAGTATGAGTGCAATATAACCGGCCGTGTGTCCTGCAGAGGAGAAACGTTTCCCTCGCCTTATTTTACGTCTTGCTTTGACTCGAGGGAAGAGTTAAAAGAAGAAACTCTTGATTGCATTATTTGTTTTTATGCATCTTTGTTGCTGCCCAGGTGTTATTACAAAAACAGTTACCTTGAAATTTTCATCTTTTTTTATTGTTCCGAGACGTCTCGCTCCTATTTCGCCGCCTCGGCACTTTTCTGTGAACGGATGAGAAGATTAGAGCAACATTTGAGTTGACTCAAACCTCGATGAGCTCGGCGATGATCCTACCTTGAGTTTGTCGAGGAGGCCTCCTTTGCGGAGGTTGACGAAGGCTTTGAGGAGCTTCGGCGTCGGAGGTTTTTGTCCGAACAGCGCGAGACCTTTCTGCTTCTCCTGTTTGGCTTGAGCTCCCGTTGCAGCTTTGGACTTCATCAGCTGCCTTCATAAACACAGAACTCATAATCCACAGCTGAAACCCAAACCGCCCCAGAAGCACTCAGTAACCCACCTGCCCTTCTTGGCCAGAACCTTCTGGGACTCCGGGTAGTGGACCAGGATGTCGAACAGGTCCTTCTTTTCCAGGACAAAGAGATTTGCGAAGCCGTAGGCTTTCACGTTAGCCGTGCGCCTGTTTCCACCGTCTTTAGCCGACTGGAGCAAACTGCGGTGGAGGCAGACACACGACACTGTTGGTAACTCGTCAAATTTTACTTTGACGGAACCGGATAGAACATGAGCCTCAAACGGTGAATGTGTGAAAACGGTGAGTCGTTCTGAAAGAAAATTCCTGAACGTTAAAGCTGCAGAATCTTCTCGTAGTCATGCATGATAGGAGTTGGGACATGTGAATATGTTCTCATGTGTAAACTGTAAAAATGTGTCCATCCTGCATGTTTTGCTCTTTAGCAGGTCTCCAAGTTCTGAAGGAGCCCATTAATCACTCATTGGGTCAAAGCAGGGGAACATGTAGGTTTGAGCACCACTAAGCAATAATCACATCCTTAAGTTGATCATTTTGTGGTGAAATCCTCCTAAAATCATTAAAAGAGCTCAAAACAGCTTCCCGGGACCCGTTGAGATTTGAATGATGGTTCTGCTGCAGCACTGCAACGAGTTTTCCAAACACGTTGTTCCAAAAATGTCTGTCTATAGAAACATTTTGGTGTACTGCAACCAGAAGTCTCCGTGGAGTTTTCTTTATTGAACTGCTGCTTTACTGACACTTGGGGATGAGCAGCCAGTCGAACAAGTGATGGAGACTAAAGGTTAATGATAAAAAGAGTCCAGACCCACCTGATTTCTCCGAACACGCAGCCGGCCTTCAGCGTAACAAACACTGTGCTGTTGTCGGGTCCTCCCACCACCTGAACCGCTCCGCTCTTGATGATGTACATCTCCTTACCGATGTCCCCCTGCAGAGGAGAGCAGGTCAGAGCACCTCGGTTGTGGGGTTGGGTTTACGATGAACGGCTCACCTTCTTAACAACAAAGTCTCCGGGGAGGTAGATGATGGACTTGAGTCTCAGTAGCATGTCCACCAGCATCTGCTGGTCACAGCCCTGAAATAGACCATTGGACTCATGGAGGACTGAATTTACACACACACTATATATACATACATACATTTATGCATTCTTGTTAATTTAGTCATTTAGTTAGCACACCTTTTATTGCTTTATGGTAATTCACTTCAGGCAGCACAGTTTTTATATATTTTATGGTAATTTGTTTTATCACGGAGGCACAGGTCTGAAGAAGTGATATGGTGAATGATGAAAACTAGCGTGGCTGTCACTAAAATATAATTTAAATATACATATCCTGACCTTTGTGTGAGTGAAATTTCTTCAGGCATATCTCAATGAATGCATGAAGACCACTATTTTAGAGTCATTTTAGCAAATATGTTCCTGTATTCTTGGTTAGAAACATAAACCATGTACTACTGCTCACCCTTAACTACTGAACATATGAAAAGTCCCATTCTATATTTTTATATCTTACGCCTGTTTAAAACAAGCCTTTGCTGAATCACCTGAAACAGTGCAATCTTCTGGAACGTGGTCAGGTTTATGTCCACAGCAATGGCAATTCTCATCACCAGAGGCATCTTGTCCAGGAGCTCAGACTCATCTGCAGAGAAGGATGAATCATCTCGTTGAGTCTTTCATGAATGACGTGAACGATTCAATCGTTAATGGAAGCTTCTAGGCTGCAAAGTAAAAGGAGGATATTGTTCTCACCTAGCATTCCCTGAGAAGCCCAGGTGTAGTTGTACCAGGTCCGGACCCTGTTCTGGACCATCTTTGGGATGGTGTAAGTGTTCATGTAGGCAACGCATTCGTCCATCGATGCCCGGAAGTACGTCTGAGCTGCCGTCGCTGCTCCTATGACGTCCCTCATCTTCAAGAAAGAGAAAACTTAAGAGAGAACTTACAATTTACTGGCCTAAAGAACAAAATGTGAATCTACCTGTCCAATGAGACTGGAGAACACAAAGACACCAACGAAGAAGTTGGTCATCTGAAAGACGATCTCAAAGAGAGTTACGGGTTCTGGAAGGCCGCCGATGTTGATAAGACTACGAACTGCGAAGTAATAACAGCGCAGATACCTGAAAAACAAAACCGTACAGTAAATTAAACCCCACGCCGAGCATGACTCAGGAGCTGCGTTCAAGGCCAAAGTTAAAAGCAAAACTCGCAGTGGGATATCTCTGGAATGGGAATGTTTTGGAACCCCACAGGAAGAGCTGGACAAATTAACTGGGAAGGTGGGTTTCTCTCTTGGACCACAGATAAAAGGATAAAAATGGAAGAACAGGAATGGACAGAAGGATGGACAAACATACGAGTATTGGTGGTGGATGCATGGATTGATGGACTGACCAATGGATAGGCAGACTGATGAATGCTTGACGGATGAATGGGCACACAAATAGATGAACAGACATACAATAGATTGATGACGGATGGATGGAAGGATTGACAGATGAACGGATGGATGGCTGGATTGACCAATGGATGGACAGACAAATGGGTAGATGAATGTTTAGCTGGAAAGAAATCTGGACAGATGGATTTATGAATGCATGGACATACATAAGATCCACTGCCTGGCCAAAAAAAAAAAGATCACACTAATATCTGGTTGGACCGCCTTTAGCTTTGATTACATCATGCATTCACTGTGTCATTGTTTCGATAAACTTCTTCAATGTCACAATATCTGTTTCCATCCAGTGTTGCATTAATTTTTCACCAAGATCTTGGATTGATGACTAGACACTAGGCATGATGGGTGCATCACTTCACCTGCCTCTCTTCTTACACTGATGCACCCATCACTCTAGAACAGGGTCAATCTGGACTCATCAGACCACATGACCTTCTCCCATTGCTCCAGAGTCCAATCCTTATGCTCCCTAGCAAATTGAAGCATTTTTTCCAGTTAGCTTCACTGATATGTGGTTTTCTTAAGGCTACACAGCTGTTCAGTCCCAATCCCTCGAGCTCCCTTCACATTGTGTATGTGGAAATGCTCTTACTGTCACTATTAAACACAGCCCTGAGTGCTACTGTTGTTTTTCTTCGATGTGATTTCACCAAACGTTCAAGTGATCGCCGATCACGATCATTCAGGATTTTTTTCCAGCCACATTTCTTCCTCGAAGACAATGGGTCCCCACTATCCTTCCAGTTTCAATAATGCGTTGGACAGTTCTTAACCCAATTTTAGTAGTTTCTGCAATCACCTTAGATGTTTTCTCTGCTTGATGCATGACAATGATTTGACCCTTCTCAAACAGACGGACATCTTTTCCACGACCACGCGATGTGTCTTTCAACGTGGTTGTTGAAGAAAAGAGAAGCAACTCATTGCACCAGTTGGGGTTAAATAACTCGCTGCAGCTGAAAGATAATCACCCATGCAGTAATTATCCAATAGGAGGCTCGTACCTGTTTGCTTAGTTAAATCCAGGTGGAGACTTTTTTTTTGGGCCAGGCAGTGTAGATCGATGATAGATGATCTAATGGACAACTAGATGATGGACAAATGGGATCAATGAACAGATAGATAGTAGATGGCTGGATTCATGAATAGACAAATAGTTGGATAGACAAACAGTTGAGTGGATTGGTAGTGGATGGATGGATAGATTGACCACTGGATGGCCAGACAGACAGAGATGAATGCTTAGATGGATGGAATTATTGATGGACTGATGGACAGATAGATAGACGGATGGATGGATGGATGGACTGATGAATACCATACCATACCAATTTATTTATAAAGCACTTTAAACAGTGACAAAGCGCACCAAAGTGCTGTACAGGGACAAACAGAACAAGCACATAGCAACAGATTACATAACAGGACACTAAAAAGTAGAAACCAACAAAAACAATAATGGATAACAACAACAACCGCAACATGACCAACACAGTGTGATGCACACAGACTCAGCACAGATCAGAATAGACAGGGGCAGTTGGTTATATTAGATTTCAAGAAACCACCGTCCAAACAGAACCACTCACGCTGTTCCTTTTCCATCGTAGACCCACGTGGTTGAAGCGAGGCCCTGGTACACCGAGGCGACGTAGAAGGCACAAGCGTTGAGATGGAGTATGTAGAGCAGGTAGCCTGTGGTCCGGAACACTCTGGGTCCAAAGACAGGAAGAGACAGGACTCAATGACACCTTCAAAATGGGACGGGACCATTTCACCGTGAGCCGTGGACCCAGCCTCGAGCAAATACAACGTGTGTTTCACCTCCAGATGTAAGCTTTGTCCATGACGCTCTCGAGACGGTCGCTGAACTCGAAGAACGAGTCGATCTAAAACACAGACGGAGGAACGCAAACCGTGAGGCTCTGAACCCATTCCTGTTTCGGTAAATCTGATCCGACCTACCCTGACGAAGCGGTTCAGTCGGTACACGGAGGAAAACCCAAAGTGCAGACTGAGGAGATCAAACGGGACGATGCTGAATATATCCGTCTAAAATTTAAAAAAAATTGTTCTTTGATTTCTACCAAGTACTGATAAAAGCAGAACTTGTTTTTTTAACTATCATATTAATTAACAGTATGTGAATCTTATCAGTTAAAAGCTAAATTACTTTAAAGCCACATCTGAGCTCATTAAAAAGCTCCGGGTACACAAAGTTCTGATGATTACAATAAAGCAAAAAAAAAAGGTAAAATAGCAGAAAAATACTTAAAACAGTAGCTGAAAAGGCAGATTAAAAGCTGTATTCAGCAGAAAGAAGCCGAACAAAGCTGAAATGAGCAGAAAGAAGCTGAAGGACACTAAAAACTGCACAAAGTGCAAAAAGCTGAAATGAGCAGTAAAAGGTAAAACAGCTAACATGAACATGTATGAAAAAGCTCATTTTGATACGTGCCGAAGAACATACAAAAGAAAAATGGATCTCGATAATGAGAAAGATTTGGAAACATTCACACGATAAATCCTACGGATCTAAAAGTCTTCTTGGATAAAATATTTGACTTAAAGCGGCTTACCTTGAATCTGTTGGACTTTCGATAATGCGGTTTAGTCAGAGCTCTGTCTTTCTGTGAGAAACACACATTAAGTTTTTTTTTTTTTAATTCACCAGGACCATTAAAAATATTCAACACTTGCAAACAGGAGTTTCATTATGTGGACGAGGGGTTCTGTGGGTCCAGGACTGTGCTAATCAGAGAGAACAACAAAACGACACGTTACATTAAACTGGAATGGATTTGTATCTCATGACCTTAAAAAAAACATGAACAGTTAATATCTTACCTGCAGTAGATTGATCTTTAAACAGTTTATTTGCTCATCTATAAAGCCCAGGCGGGGTCAACACTAAAACAGATTATGTGGCGTTGAAACGGCTACAATCTAAAGCGCTTTATACCAATTATTTCTGTTTTTCAAACCTTCACATTAGCATCACGGTGGATAAAGCTAGCTGCTAACTGCACCATGCTAAAGCGTTCGAGCTGAGGTGATCCAAGACTCACGATTATGTCTCCACCTTTGACGAACTGCAGCCGAGGCTGCCAAACCACGATGTCCACAACGTTCACGACATCACAGAGAACGTCGAAAAAGATCCAGAATGGGTTGGCGGTTCTGCCGTGGCAAGGGAAGGCCAGCCGGGCCGGACAGAGCCAAATGTTGTAGTTGTAGGCCACGGCGACAACGGCTAACCAGGCGATGTAGCGACGATCTAGACGGAAGGAACAAAAGCATCACGCTAACTTGAAAAAAGGTATTCACTGAATGCTGACTGCTGGAAAATGTATAAAGAATTAACAGATTTAATGAGCAGAACAAAAGTCAAAAACAGTTCAAATTAGCAAAAATCGTAGCTAAAATGCAAACCCAATGAAAACGGTAGCTAAAAGCAAAATGCAAAACAAACAACCGACCAATGTACTTAAGGCTAAATGTAGTAAAAATGTTGCTAAATTACAATTACAAAAACCGTAGCCCAAAGCTAAAATTAGTAAGACTAGATAAATTCTCTGTTGTAAATGATTCCCTGAGGCTCAACGTGGCTGCTGCATGAAGCTAATATTTGTAAGGTTTTAACAAAAAGCTAAATTTAGCAAGACTTCAGCTAAAAGACACGTAGAACAGAAAACAGCGGTTATGCAGAAAAAACTGATTCTAAAGGAGTTAAAGTGTGTTTCTATGAAGTCATACAGAAAACTACAGCTGCAAACGGACGTTTTGACATACGTCATTCCAACAGGCCAAAGCATGCAGAAGCAGTTTGACTGAATGCTGACTCAGCATTAATCTTTGCTCCAATCTGAACTGGGTCCACCTGTGAAAGGATCGATGGTGCTTCCCAGAACGGCGTCCATCTTCTCCTCGACGGGCTGGAGGAGGAGGTCGAAGCAGGAGCAGCTGATCTCTGGGAAGATCCTGGCCTTCTTCCTGACCTCCTCAGCCAGCCTCTCCTCCTCTGCTTTCCGCTCGGCCTCCAGACGCTTCTCCTCGTCCTTCTTCTTCTTCTCCTCTGCCTTCCTGGCTGCTTCCTCTGCTCTTCTCCTGTCTTCCTCCTCTTTTGCTCTCTGCTCCTCCTCCTTCATCCTAATGTAGTCGTCCTTCTTTAGAACCGGTGCTGAGGAGACAAAGACACGGGTTTTGGTCACCTTGGTGTTTTGAGTTTCTCCGTGCGACCGATGGTGTCGTTTACGTCCACACTCACTGACAGGCGGGGTGATTTCTGGAGATGTGGCGTACGGGTCGATGACTTTCACTTTGAGCAACTCATTCCTCTCTCTTAACCTCTGGACCACACTTTTGAGGACTTCTTCTGCGTAGCGGGGGCAGACAACCGGTGGAAGAGCTCCGTTACTAAAAAATAACATATAAAACCAAGAAGAAGAAAAAAATGTGACAAAACCATACAGTAAAACAGAACAGGTACATATAAGGAGGCATTGAACTGATGACTGACATTAGGGTTGACCTAAACGCCCATAACTCCCATCCCTTAAGCGTAATGGTTCACCTCCTACTATGATGGGTAATCTGTTTTCCTCTAATGCTTCACTTTCTTGTGGTGTGCCGCAGGGCTCCGTTCTTGGTCCTCTCTCTATCTTCTACCACTTGGATCAGTTACAGCCAGACTGCCTCTTTCATCTCACTGTTATGCAGATGACCTACACATTTATTTGCCCATGCAGCCTAGATGTAGTAACCTTCAAACTTTGTTCCTTGATTATGTTGCTGATGTTAAACAGTGGTTTCACCAAAATCTTCTGTTTTTAAATGAAGGAAATAGTGTGTCCTTTTTGTTGATGGTGCTCCTTGTAACTGTAGTTAGTTCAGACCCACAGTTAAAAACTTTGGGGTGACTTTTGTAGTTGAGGCTGGCTTTTTTCATGTAAAATCTTTTAGCCAAAATCAAACCTTTTTTTAAGTGTCCTGACCTGGACAAATCTGGACTTCACCAAGCACATCACTTGATTTTGAACTTTGTTGTTCACTTGTAAAGCTCTCAACAGTCTCACACCACCTTATTTATGTGATCTAGTAACTTTTCACGAGTATGAAAGGACCTTAAGGTCAACTCAACTTCTTTACTGTTTGTCCCAAAGTCCAAATTCAAATGTTGGGGTGACTGAGCCTCTTTAGTTGCATTACCTGAACTGTGGAAGCAACTACCTCAGGATTTGAGCTCCATCACTGACCTGAGCCTTTCTTTAATCTTTAAATCTTTTTATTGAGGCAGGCCAGTGGCACTTTGGCATTGTTTGTTTTAACTTTTGTACTTTGAAGCACTTTGTGCAGCTTTTGGCTTTTGGAAAGGGCTCTATAAATAAATGTTGATTAATTGTACCAACTATATACATATATCCTTGTTAAAATCTCCAGAAAGCATAATTTATTTTAACAATCAGCTGTACACTACATGTGGATGTGATCTCTGGTGGTTCTCGGTCACAAACACCTCTAAGCTTCTAATCTCCTTTCCTTCAGGGTTCATCCTGCAGGTCACAGAGGGATCATGGCTGCCGTCTCTGCAGACAGACTGTCCATCACGGAAAACTGTTTTTTAATCTTAATTAGATTTCTTAAATCTAATGGACAGATTATAAAAGCGTCAGATGGACACAAAGAGGTCCAATCAAGCTCTCCTTAGTGTTGGTGATGGACATAACTGTTCCAGTTTCCATTTTTGTTGTTTTCTGAAACCACAGGACTGTGTAAGTGCTACTGATCCTAGGTGAGGGCTGGTTGCCAGTCTTTTAGCCGTGCCCTACAACAGTAACAGCAGAAGTCATGTGAATAAAGTTCTCTTCATGACGTGGTTCTGAAATTCACCCGTAATTTACGCCTCCTTTGGGGCATTCACTTGTGAACCAGTCAAACAGCCTGAGATGTTGATCTGTTTTGGTGTCATGTGTGGAAAAGCTTGGATGGGAATTGGGAAGAGCATTAAAGTTAACCCACCGCTGTTACAGTTCTGAGCCAGCGGGAAGGTGAAAAACACAAAGCTAGCGAGCTTGAGCCCATCTCAACTCACACAGAGGAATGTACTTACCCTCCACCTCCTTCTGGAGCAGCAGGAGCTTCAGCTGGAGCAGCTGGTGGAAAATTCAACAGAGTGATGTTTGAAAAACTGACAAATGTCCAAAAAATGTGCAAAATGTAGAAGTCCAAGTGTTGGATGGTGTTGGATAAACTGGACCCACTCCAGTTTACCTATACGGTAGGCCGTGGGGTGGAAGACGCAAGCTTTTAGACACCATCACCAAACACCTGGACTCCGCACAACTGTACACAAGGATTTTATTTATGGATTTATCTTCAGCCTATAACACCGTAAAGATCAGCGTTTTACTGCAGCACCTTTTAGACCTACACGTTCACCATTCACTGGTTTTATGAACCTATACGTTTTTCCAGACCAGACCACAACAGAACCATTTTAATGGTTTTAAATCAAATACGTTGGTTTTACATACAGGGCTCCTTCACGGTTGTTTTCTGGGCATTTCCTGCAGCAGTGAAGGTTATGTCACTTTTTAAATAAGTAGACGACATGGTCCTGGTAGATCACATGACCTTTGTCAGTTGCTTTTTGTGACAATTTCCTGGAAGTGCATGTCACAAAGACCAAAGAGTTGTGCTGTGGGGACAGAATTAAAGACTCCAGAGCCAGCAGGTGGAACAGATGGAGTCTTTTAGAGACCTTGGGACAGAAACTGACACCCAGCTGTCCTTTAAAGAGCGCACGGACTCCACTTTTTAAAAAGCAAGTCGCCTCCACCTGCTGAGGAGACTGTGATCCTTTAATATCAAGGACATTTTAACACTGGTTTATAGAACACATTGAATCTGTCATTACTTTGAACATTTTGGCTCTTGGAGCTGTGTCAAAGGAAAAATTCTACCATTTGGGACAGACGGCTCAAGGTTGGAACACAAAGACGAAACATTGTGGCTGTTGGAGAAAGAAAAGGCTGGCCCACGAACAGGAAATGGGTAAAACAAAAAAATACACTGTTAACCATGAACCAACTTCTTGGTGTCTCCAAAGTGTACGACCAACGTGTGTTAGAAAAATACAGAGGAGAGGGGAGCTGAATTCAGATAAGCAACAATTGTTTTGGGAACAGGCAGAACTTTACTGATTCTTGTCTGCCTTGAGTCTTTTCTGGTCCTCTCAAATCCCAAACGTCCAAATTAAGTGGACAGACGCAGGCAGTCTGACCAGGGCCAAATGTGCTGTCCATGACTTCTTTGTTTGTTGATAGACCAGGAACCAGCCGAATCCAAAAAGCAGGAAACCAGTTATCATAAATCCAGTTGTATATGCGTCCTTGCCGCTTGTCTTCTCGTCTAGAAAATTTTATCAATTGTGTTGAGAGACCAACTGACCAGATCCATAGCAAAAATGTATGGTTCAGAAGATATGTAGAGGGAAGCTCTGAAGCAGTTTCACAGACAGGACAGAGCAAAGCGGAGGAGGGAGAGGGAAAGTGTCCGCCCTTGACAGGAGCAAGTGGTGAAGTTAAGGACGTTCAGAAATCCTGATTCAATAAAGGTTTGACACAAAGTCCAAACAAACGAGGCTCTATATGCGTTATACGAGCCGTGGTTTCTGTGGAAAATTCATTTTTTGTTGCCTCTTCAGTAACAGACTGTACACTGTAAAAAACCTATGTGTAACATATGTTATATTTATTATAGTCGTGAATCAAAAATAGTAAGAAACCCATCGTGTTGTGAAAAGATGATAAAAACTCAGAAGTATGAAGTTCAAACCAACTGAACCAAACATCTCACCTGGTTTTGGCTCGTCCTTCTTGGCCCCATCTTCTGTCTTCTCCTCTTTCGTCTCCTCGTCTTTCTTTTCCCCTCCCGACTTTGCCTCTTTTACATTTTCATCCCGATTTTCAGGCAGCAACTCCTCCGAGGATTAAACCAAACATACAAATCTTTAAAAAATGTCCTGCTCGATTAGTAAAGCATTTAAAAAAGTAGTTGTGTCTCAAAAAAAAAAACATTTTAGCTTCGGATCGAACCAAAAAATTTGGTTCTAATTGTTCTAAATATTGAAGGAATGTGTTCTGATCAGTTTAAGAGCAGCGAGTGGAGAAACGGTGAAGGTCATAAAGTGTCGAGGTGTTACCTGGGCTGGTGGAGCAGCTGGGGGCTCCGGAGCCCCCATCCACTGCTTCAACCTGCTGAACATGTTGGGGAGAACTCCTCGGGCCCGATTTCCTCCTCAAGATGAAAAATTCTCACCTCTGACTTACCTCGCTCTAAAACAGCAGACTGACGGGTTTACATGTCTAAGAATCAGTAATTCCCTTCGGGCACTCCCCCTTTCTTTCTCCTGGGACCAACACCTGATGAGCGACCGTCTCTTCCACCAATCCCTGCCGGGCGGAGAGATTTTGAAAAAGACCGTGAAATAATTTAAATTCACGTCTTTATGAAAGATGTCGGAGTCATCGTTACACAATTTAAAGGACCGTTCTACGCTTTAATGACGGCTTTTCTTTTTTTTTTTGAATTGGATGGAAGGAGCTTCTGTAGTTTGACTCGTCTCGGGTTTTCCCTGTGCCCTCTGGTCGTAGAGTTCACAGATTAATCAGATTAACGGGATTAAGAAGGATCTGCTGCTGAACTACTGAAAGCTCACAGACGCACCACTGGTCAAACCGAACACATGAGTGAGTCATTTATTTGTGTAAATATAAAGAAATTAATCCGTGCTGTGTGGAACAGCTGCTGCTGCTGCTGCTGCTGCTGCTGCTGCTGCTGCTGCTGCTGCTGATGATGATGATGATGATGATGATGATGACGATGACGATGACGAGCAGTTAGAGGAACAACAGAACCAAGGAGAAGGTGAAACTCTTGAGTCCAAACCCGGCAGAATCCACCGGGACCAGATCAGGTGTCCTCCGACATGTGTCCAACAGACACTTAAATGTAATCATTGGAAGAAAAAAACACTTTGTACAAAAAAATAAGAGCTTTGTGTTTTTACTCCCACAAAGGAGTTATCAAAAATAAAAAAAAAAATTTAAAAAAATACGAGTCCTCATTTGCTTCCAGAAATCTGCAGAAAAAAAAAGAAAAAAAAAAGTTTTTCCCCAAGTAAACAACACATTTTCATCCATTCATCTGACTATTCATCTATTATCCATCCAACCATTCATCCATCCAACCAACCATCCATTCATCCATCCAACCAAAGATCCATTCAACCACCCATCCATCATACATCCAACCATCTATCCATCCAACCACCCATTCATCCATACAAACATCCATCCATCCATTCAACCACCCATCCAACCATCTATCCATTCACCCATCCATCCATCCATCCATCCATCTATCCAAACATCCATCCATTCAAACAGGTGAGATCACAAAATATCCGACATGTCAGAGCAGGATGCAGGAAGAAGCAGGGGAAGAATTTTATGCGCAGTGAGAGCTCCTCAGCTCCAATCTTCTGCCCCCTCAGCTGCGCACGTCCACCAACCCTTAATAATAGTCAGTGGTATAAGCAGTCGAAGCTTAATTTAAAATGTCGGGGGGGGGGGGGGGGGGTGTCCGGGTTCGAACCTGTAATTAACTGTTAATTCGTTGGATCGGGTGGAGTTCAGAGATGATGGCAGCGGGCTGGGGCCGAGTTGGTTCGGATTATTTGGACCCAAGTGCAACTCTACCATGCATCCAACTATCTACGCATCATTCATCCAACCATTTGTCTATCCATCTATGTATTCATCCATCCAACCTTAGACAAATGAATGGATGGATAAACAGATGGTTGGGTGAATGGATGGATGTATGGATATATCCAAACGTCTGCCCTCCATCACTCTGTTCATCAATCTGTCTGCCCATTCAGTCAACCATGCATCTATCATCTGTTCTGTCATCCAACCATCCTCCCTTAATCCACCCATCCATCCATCCACCCATCATTCATCCATCCATCTGTTCATTCATTCATCCGACGTTAGATGAATCAATGGCTGGATAGTCTATCCACAGACAGATGGTTGGATGAATGGATGGATGAATTCATCCAAGCATCTGCCCTCCATCCATCAGTCCCTCCATCAGCATAACCTCACATATTAAAGGGGCAATGTATTTACCTTCATTTTATCCATAAACCTTTTGTTGATGTTTCCTCCGAAGGCTCGGAGCAGTTTGGGCGTTGGTGGTCTGGGTCCGAACAACGCCAGTCCTTTCTTCTTCTCTTCCTCCACTTTGGCTGCTGCTGGACCCTTGGCCTTCATTAGTTTCCTACACGAACAAACAGAAATGGGTCACAACGTATTCCTACACTGTGCTTTTATAAAATGCAACATCTTTTTTGGGTACACTGAGTACATGGACATGTTTGTTCGAATCAAACTGGGAGTCTCATCTATGAGTAAAGACGAGTGTGGGTTTGTTGCGTTCGTCAGGACTCACCTGCCCTTCCGAGCCAACACTTTCTGAGACTCTGGATAGTGCACCAGAATGTCAAACAAGTCTTTCTTCTCCAGGACAAAAAGGTTAGCAAAACCGTAGGCCTTCACGTTAGCTGTCCGCCTGTTCCCGCCATCTTTGGACGACTGCAGCAGACTACAAACATTTTATGTTGGGATATTTACCAAAGTTTGGGTGCATTTTTAATTCTCTTCTTATACATGAACACATTCATCACCCCCTTATGAACTAACCTGATTTCTCCGAACACGCAGCCGGCCTTCAGCGTAACAAACACAATGCTGTTGTCGGGTCCTCCCACCACCTGAACCGCTCCACCCTTGATGATGTACATCTCTTTACCGATGTCCCCCTGCAGAAAGTATTTACGCAAATAATTCACTGAATTTACTTCCACAGGAGTGTGGAATATAATATCAGCAATCAAACAACCTGACAAGGTGTTCAAACTTCAAAGTCCTGGGTATTAAGAGTTCATGATTGTTAGGATTTGTGTTCGGAGCGAACCCAGAGTGCAGAACAGGGACTCAACTCGGCAGTTATACAAAAATAAGTTTTTAATGATAAATAAAAAGTACAAAATAAATATGCTGACGGGGCAGCAAAACTTACACAAACAAGGAGGGAGGCACGGGGAACTCGGGAGACACGAGGAACTCGAGGAACCAGGAAAACAGAGAGACTCAGGAGACTCACCCAACGAAGACGACCCGACAAAGGACAAGACAGAATAGGGAGACTTAAATACAAGGAGAAGACGAGACATGATGACAAACAGCTGGGACGAGACACAGGTGGCAACAATGGAAACTAACGAGGAGCACGAGGAAAACAGACACACCGGGCCACAGAAAACTAACATCCTTACAATGATACTGAGATCAGGGCAGAAATCACAGCTCCAAACAGGTTTACCTACAGATTCTATTTTGAATTATTTTAAAGTATTTATTTTAGCCTAGAAACTAAAAGTTGTTTTATTTAAATAGTAAATATTTAGCTATAATATGCCATAAAGTCTTGTGCAAGTAAACTGATGTGTCATATTTAAAAAAATAAATATATAAATTTGCATGTGATGCTGGAAACATGGAACTGCTTCAGAGGAGCAACTTGGACCTTCAGCGGAAAAAAAGGCTAAATGGAACAGAGGAGTTGTTTTATTACTGACCAAAGGCAAAAATGGCAATAATGTGGTTTTATTGTGTTAGTTTTTGCCTGTTTATCTCTTAAACCATCGAGCAGATTTTAAATAAACTATCAAAATGAAATCACTGGGTGTACATCTGGTTCTCTTTTGGAGTCGACTCAAATCAAGATTGATGCCGCAGTTGATCGACTTTAGACAACACAAAAACTCAGTCAAATTTACAGATACTGAGCTAAAGTTTGGCGTGGTAGTAGCTGAGCATCATTCTCAACGTATTTCATTTCACAAAGAAGAGACGCTGCACCACGGACGGCTCGGTGCATCGGAGCACCAGCACCACTTTGATGCCTCTATGGTCACTATGCAATACATGTATCACATGAAATGATGAATGGTCTTTTACAAGGTTTGACCAAAACAACAAACTCCTTTTCATTTCTTTTTATCATAAGATGATGGTGGTTTAAGTCTGACATGAAAGGCGGCGGATGATAAGGTCTTTGTTTGTGAAAGAGTCAGCCGTGGAAAATGTTAGATCTGGAAATGTAAATCTTTGAGCCAAATTAAAGGATATCTAAAACACTTCAAATACAGAGATACTTGTCACAATTAGCAACGCTAAATGTGACATTAACTGCACTAGTCATGAAACAATTTAAAAGACAGCTTTATATATCTGACAGTTTCAATCTATTAATTTTTACTATCAATAATGGTGTCAATTACTAAGGTAATATGCAACCTTACACATCATCATCACCAATAATACAAGCAACGATGTCCCCCGTCACTGAAGGATTATAGTAGTGAATGTTTGTTCAATGCAAGTAAACCTTAAAGTATTTGGTGCAACATATAAGAACATTGGTGGGTTTTATTGGCGGGCTTGTCTGAGGCAGCGCAGAGTGATGGATCCTGGTGAGTGGAGGGAGCAATTTTCTCCACCACCAGGTGCAAAGCTGGAGCTAGAGGGTGACCAATGGTGGCCTTGACCACCATAGATTAATCTTCAGAAACCCCACCGGCCACCCCAATCATTTGAGGAAACTATACTTTTAAGCAATATAAAAACTAGAACGCATAATTTCCTCTGATAGTTCAAAAGAGTCATCCAGCTCACAAGGTTTACATATACACATATATGGGGGCAGCCATCTTGGATTTTAACATGGCAACCCAATTTTCAATAGGAAAGTTAAGTTTATCATGCCGAGATGCAACCACATACCAAAATGGAAGTTGATATCTCGCTTATTTTTCATGTTATGCTCACGGCGGACAGACCAAGGGTGTATTTAATTCCTCTCTTGGATCCATAACAGGGAACAATACAACTGAATTACTGTTCCAAAAAAATTAGATATTTGATCATAAACTCAGATATTGGAATCAAATTGGAACCCAAAGAAGCAGACTTACTTTTTTAACAACAAAGTCCCCAGGCAGGTAGATGATGGATTTTAGCCTCAGCAACATATCCACCAACATCTGCTGGTCGCAGCCCTGTGGATGTAAAGAGATTTAACACACTGGGTTTTTGTAATGTTAACATGATTCAGGCATGCTTTTTATGCCACCTTAAAAAGGTCAATCTTCTGAAATGTTGCAAGGTTGATGTCCACAGCAATGGCAGTTCTCATTACAAGAGGCATGTTATCCAGCAGCTCAGACTCATCTGAATATTTAGAAGAAGAAAAAAATTATGGAGCAACAAATGAAAGAAGCACAATATATATTTTAAGAAGATAAAGTTGTTTGTTCGGTAAATACTGACCCAACATGCCCTGGGCGTCCCACGTGTACGTGTACCAGGTACGAACTCTATTCTGCACAAAACTGGGGATGTGGTTGGTCACCATGTAGGCGACTGTATTGTCCATGGAAGTACGAAAGTATGTCTGTCCCGCTGTGGCTGCACCAATGACATCTCTCATCTGAGGTAACATGATAAAACAACTATATAAACAGAGGAAAGTCTTCATTAAACTACTAATTAGCATGCAGAGTCAACGTTTTTGGGGTGTGGAAACTTTACCGACAGGAAAGAATTCACAGGAAACTGGACAGATAGGGGGATAATGGGGGTTTGGGGACTAATTATGGTCACTGTCCTAACAGGACAGGGTCATCTACCACTAAGTTAAATGAAAAAAGAGGTGATTGTGTGCTGCTTTCAGATGTTCATTGGTTACCTGTCCAATCAAACTGGAGAACACAAAGACACCTATGAAAAAGTTAGTCAGCTGGAAGGTGATCTCAAAGACGGTGTGGGGTTCGTTAAGACCCCCGATGTTGATCAGACTGCGGACAGCAAAGTAGTAACAGCGCAGGTACCTGTGAAGAAGGTGATTGGACATTAGATGTACTTTCACAACCTTTGTCTGCAGTTTGGGGGGCTATGGATTGCATTGCTGCCTTTTTCGAAGATATGGCCTCATTGGCCTCATTAAGCCAGGACCTTTAACGGGAACAGGAGAGGTTTTCAGACAGAACCTTCAAGTCTGAGATCATGGTCCTCAACAATAAAAAGGTAGCTAGGCACTGAGCCACTGCTCCAAGTAGAGGAGTTCAGGTATCTCAAGGTCTTGTGTACGAGATGGCATAGAATGGAGCCGGAGATAAAGGGTTGGACCATTACAAGTCTGTTGAGGTCAAAGGCAAAACTCTCAGTTCATCCAAATTGTTAAAATGTCTTTTTTCAGGGTGACTGACCTTAAGGATAAAGTGATCAGTTTGGCTATTTAGGAGAACTTAAGGGTGTTGTAGTCCAGTCATCATGGGAGTGATGTTCTCTCCAGTAGTTATCAATGTTTGCACTTTATCTGCCGTGACATCGGTCATAAAGCGTGGAGTATAGAGAAATAGGCAAAGTCTTCATTTAGGCTAAACTAATGGCTAGTCAAACAAGGGCTAGTTTCAAACAACTCTTTCTCTTAGATGCTGTTTTCTCAACTAAACAATGTCTGTGTGACTATGTGAATCGATCTGTGTGGACCATAGACAGACGGTGTATATGCCAATGGTGCCGAGGCTGTTGAATGTATCAGTCCACCAGGAGTTGAGTCAACTTTTGGACCAACTAGATCAGTGTGTTGAAACTGGCTAGACATTAGCATAGCCTGGACAGACACATTTTATTCTTCCCCATATTCCATGCTCTATGATCGATGTCATGGCTCATGAGGTACTAACTACTGATAACAATTAGAACATCAATTCAGAGATGACAGGACTAACCCTTTAAAGTAAAGCCGCTAATCCTCAAGGTTGAGGTGGTTTGGGGATCAGAGAATGCCTTCTAGGGGTGGCCTTTTGGACAAGTCCCACAGGGAGGAGACCTTTGTGAGGACCAAGGATTTGCTGGTGAGATAATCTCACAACTGACATTAAAAGGTCTTGAAGAAGTTAGCTGGAGAGAGGGAGGTCTGGGGGTTGGCTACGTCAACTGTTGCATCCACAATCTGGTCTCTGATAAGTGACAGAAGATAAATGGATGAATTCATATTCACAACTACAGTTCCCTTGATGTCTTGCTGTAGTTTTCTTTTTGACATTTTCTTTTCCTCTTCATCATAAAAGCTAAAACATATTAGAAATTTCGAACTCTCAAACTGGGATATTACAAATTAGAAAAAGGAGCTATCCGGCCAAAAATGGCAGACATAAAGAATGCCCCAAAAAGACAGTTCATCATCTGAAAGGTCTGTTCGAACGCGTTCTCTGGAAACGGCAGCTCAGCAACCATCAGAAGGGACTTCTCCGCTTAGAAGAAGCAGCTGAGGTAACTACAACAAATGTTTTTAAATTTGGGGATTTCTTTTAATTTATCCATGTGGTTCTTCGTTTGCATTGCAGCCGAAAACCGCCCTTACCCTAAATAAAGCTTTGTGGTTATCTCATGTTCTACATAAAGTAGTTACAACTGAACTGACCAGATGACAAATGTATTGAACATTGAAACATGGAAGAAAAAAATAAACATTTGTAGCAAATTGCTTTATTAATCTCACATTAAATAAAAAGTTATTGATTAACTGTTTCATTATAAGAAACTTGAACCAGATTTTCCAGTTTAATTAAAAAATCATGTGCAAGTGAGACGTAATGCTTGTAGAAGCAGTTTCATCAACTAATAATAAAATTATATTATCTCGATTAGGTTTAGGTTGAACACATTTAAGTTTAAGAACAAATAAAACACTTTAAACATAGAATAGATTCCTATTAATGTAGTGCTCTGCTTTACTTCCTGTTGGCTCACATAAATGGTGAACACACTAAAACAGCAGAATCTCATTATAGAAAAATTCACACATTTTCTGTTCTTTATCAGCAAAACCAGGTAGAACCTCGACAATGATCCAGAACATGTCAAGAAACTTGTTCAACATCAACAGACCAGTTGTGCAACAATCAGCCAACATTTGGGAAATTGTAGGGATGTAAAGACAGAGGTGCCATACTTACGCACTGCCTTGACCAGAGTAGACCCACTTTGTTTTCCCGATGCCCTGGTATTCTGAGGCCATGTAGTAAAAACAGGCGTTGAGGTGGAGCATGAAGAGGAGATAGCCAATGGTGCGAATCACTCTAGACAGGGAACATATTAGGTGACGCGTTATTTCTCTGACTTGTTCAGGTTGAATATTTTCTGAGTTAGTGCATCGTAAAAAAAGAGCCTCGTCTTGTTTAGCTGTTCCAAAAAAAAAATGATTATGGATTTGTCTACGTAGAAGAATTTAACAGTAATGGATAAAGATGTAGACTCAGACTGGTTTAAGGTGCTGAGGACACGATCTTCACCATGGTGGCGGCAGCTGTGGGGACACTTTTCATTGACGAGAACCGGGAATTTGGACGGAGTTTAAGTAAAAATGGATAGCATAAAACACAGATAAATTAATGAGGCAAATTGTTTATATTTTAGAGATTTGTGACTGGAACAGGGGTTCAGATTGTGAGTTAAAAGTATTATACCTCTATACTGGATTAGTGTTGCTGAATTCATCTTCTGGCACTTACCTCCAGATGTATGCCTTGGCCAAGATGCTTTCCAAACGATCACTGAACTCAAAAAATGTGTCTATCTTGAGAAGAAGTAAAGCAATGTTAGACATAAAGTAAACTTTTGGCTTGTTTTTCTGTCATCACCAAGTTAAATCCTTCTTAGGAGTGTTGGTACATTTACCTTCAGTATTCGATTGATTCTGAAAATGGATTTGAACCCAAACTGTAAGTATAGCAAGTCTAATGGCAGAACAGACACCACGTCTATCTGTTGAAGAAATAAAAACACGTGAGGTCTTCAACACCACTCCACTTTTAGATTTACATTTCTGTGAACGGAGTTACGGTACCATGAATCTCTCAGTTTCTCTGTAGTGTTTCGTTGTCATTCCGCGGTTTTTCTGTAAGGAAAAACAAAAATTTGTCATAATTCCATTTTATACTTGTCTTAGACCAGTTTGTACCTGCCTTAGCCTGTGTCGGCTCATTAGCCTCCCCAGTATTAAGACTGAATCTACTGGAATACAGTGGAGAAACCGCAGGGCCTTCTACACCTTCAGAGAAGGCCCATAAATTTAGCACATATGAAATGTTACAATACATTTTTATTTAATATTTCAGATAAAATATATATTTTAAATCTAGTTTTTCTTCCTTTTTTTAATTTAGCTAATTTCTTGTATATATATAACCCTACATATATATGAATATAGGGTTATAGGCAGGGCTCTGAGCCTTCAGGAAGGCCCTGCTGGCATTTTTTTTATAATGGTGAAGATTTGTAATGTATTCAACTGCAACTTGTAAATTCAAAAATTTACACTGAAATTGTAGTTGTTGTTTTTTTTTTAAAGAGATTAAATATCCCATTTAGGTTTACATTAATAGTTTTTAATATTACAGTTGAATTTTGATTTCAGAACGTAATGTAAACTTAGTTTGCAGAAACTAAGATCTGTGAATTTCTGTTAAATTTCAGGCAAACCATCTACATGCTGGATTTGTACCTGGATTATTGAGCATGAACTTATGGTATTATCATTAATACCTTCTGTAGACTAAAGTTTGTTTAACATTTGACAAAGATTAAGTCATTATGCCTACTCCTAATTGTAACCGCTAACCCTGACGTTGAACACTTTGACACATCGCCTCCAACTTACTGATGCTTTGACAAACTGCAGGCTTGTGCCAATAAATCATATTTGACTACCCATGTTCCTTGCAAATTTGGGTAATAACTTATTGGATGACAACGTTTTTAGACTTATTGGCGAATTATCAACTTTAACTGAAAATTGTGAGAACACACAAATTTTCTGATACAACCTTCCAGAAATCTGATTATTTTCATGCAAGTGACCAGTAAGCCACATGGCTGCATTTTGCACAACACGTTTTTAAATTTATGACTTATTTTGTGTGCAAACCTTTATTCGAGACCATGCAGGTTATTTCTTTGCCCACCCCTTTGCAATCATACCCACCCAAGCTTGCTTTGTACCCACCTTAGCGGTCTCCCCCACATCTTACGATTTAATCTACTTGAGTACACTTTACATTTGACAACAGGCAGATTTGGACGAGTATCATCAATGTGGTTTCTAGACCTAGACATGTTTCCAGAGAGACAATTTGCAAAACATTTTTGAAGACGCTCATAATTCAGCCAACAAGCTTCTGTGACTCAAGCTTGAAAAGTTGAGAAACCTCCCAAAATGCAACAAGACATTCTGGAGACATTCTTACCAACAGTCACAGCCCAGTGACTCACTACCATGGTGTTCAAGACAACGTAAGAGAAAAACAAAGTCCTAAAAAGGCTAGCTGCTTCGCTTTATCCTCCGTACAATTTGGTGTACCAAGGACAGAGATATGTCTACTGTTATGTAGAAAAACAAGCCAAGTTAAGGCATGAAAATTAACCCTTTAAGCCCATTCAAAAACACCAAATATATGGGTACAACATGGTAAGCGTGACACAGCACCTGCTAAGTAAGCCCAAAACAAGGGTACAAAGTGGCAAATGTATGACTCAAACAACAGCAAACTCACAACGATGTCTCCTCCTTTGACAAACTGCTTGCGAGGCTGAAACATGAAGGAGTCCGTGAGGTAGACGAGGTCAGCCAGGATGTCCATGGCGAACCAGAAAGGGATGGTGGTCTCAGTGTGGTACGGGAAGCACATCCGGGCTGTGATGAGCCACACGTTGTAGTTGTAGGCCACAGTCACCAAGCTCAGCCACGCGATGTAGCGACGATCTGTAAACGGGTCGATGGTGGGCCCCAGCACATGATCCATGGGATCCTCAATGGGCTTCAACACAAAGTCCACCACGGACCACCAAGCTGCGATTATCCTCATCTTCATGGGAACCTTCACTTTCTTTTCCTCTTCTTTCCGTTTCTCCTCATCCTCTTTTTTCTTCTGCTCAGCTTCCTTCTTTTTCTTCTCCTGTTCTTCTTTTTTCTTCTTGTCTGCCTCCTCTTTTTTGATCCGGTCCTCCTCTGCTTGCCTAGCTCTTTCTTCTACGACCTTTGCATATTCGTCTTTGGGTAGCAATGGAGCTAAAGGGGAAAATGTATGGAATCAGAGAGCTGCGGGGTGTAATCGAATCATCCTTTGCTCTTGTTTCCCACTATTTGCCAGTAAAATGAATAAAAGCACACAAAGCTTTCTTAAAACAGAAGGATGAGTGTTGGTACTCACTGACAGGAGGGGTGATCTCAGGGGATGATGCATACTGATCAACCACCTTCTCCTTGTACAGCTGCAGCCTCTCGTTCATTCGTTTGGCGCAGAATCTTAGCTGCTGATCTGCATAAGTGTTGATAACGACCGGTAGAGGAGCGGCGACACCCTGTCTGTAGTTGAAAAACACCATCAGCCAGATATTTTGCTAACAATGTTGTGATTTTTGGCAGTAAAAGCATTATAAAGCATAAAATGAATGAAACCTAGGGGTTATTGCTGAAGGAATTCAAGTAAATGGACTGTACAAGCTGGAAAAGTTTTAAGAATACGTATTTAACAGATATATTAGAATATTAATCAGAAACAACATATTTCTTCTTTGTTGTCGTCTCTCTGTTGAGCCGCTTTTATCGTTGTAATTTTCCTCAAAAATTATCAGAAAATGTTTTGAAGAGAGACAGTTTGACTAAATACAAAGCGGCTGTTCATGTTTCGCCCCCTTGTGGGTAACTTCCAACAACACACCTGACAGAAGGATTCTTTAGTCATAATGAAATCTGCAACATCTTCTTAAACGCCACATTTCATAAAGATAAAAATATGTAAGAAGTTGTTTCTGTTTATGGATTTACTGATGAAGGTGATGATTTAGTTTTATTTTTATTTTTTAGATGTTTTGGGTTTGTATTAGTTTGTAGGTACGTACTGGGTAAAAGTGACTTAATGACTCAGCCTGGCCCATTTAGGTACAAAGTATGTACCTGTATGTCTCTGGTAACTACCCATGCATGCAACTTGTAACTACCCAGATACGTTATCTTGTAGGCACCCAGTAACTACCTGGACACGTACCCAGTAACTACACTGGTTGCATATCCTCTAATTGCCCAGGAACGTATCCTGTACTACCCAAGTACATTCCAGAGTACGTTCCCGGAAACTACCCTGGATTGTACCAAGTAATTACCCAGGTATTTACCTAGTTACTACCCAAGTATATACCTTGTACCTACCTGGATACATACTCAGTAAATACTAGTGTACGTACCATGCAAGTACCTAGTAACTGCTCAGGTACGTACCCTGTAACTACCAGGGTACACATCATGTAACTGTCTGGGTTGATACCTTGTAAACTACTGAGACATTTTTACTGTATACCTACATGCATGCCTTTCTTGTAACTACCAATGTATGTACCCTGTAACTACCGGAACACACAGCCTGTAACTACCAAATAACTAATTGATACGTACCCTGTAAACTGCAGAGATATTTACTGTATACTTACATGGGTCCGGATTTTTTAACTACCTGGGTATGTATCCTGTAACTACTGGGGTCCATACCCTTTAACTAGCTAGGAATGTACTCAGACTACCTGGTACATACTATGTAACTACAATGGTTACTATTCTGTACCCTGTAAATACCTGGGTACATACATTGTAACTACCAAATACCTACATGGTATGTACCCTGTAACTACTAGGGTACATATCATGTAACCGTCTGGGTTGGTAACCTATAAATTACTGAGACATTTACTGTATGCCTACATGCAACTACCAACGTACCTAACTACCCTGAGATACCCTGTAACTACCTGGATATGTACCCTGTAGCATAACTACCACTATGTACCTTGTAACTACCAGAGTACATACCCTGTAACTACCAAATAACTACTTGATATGTACCCTGTAAACTGCTGAAATATTTACTGTATACTTACATGGGTCTGGATCTTTTAACTACCTGGTTATGTAGCCTGTAACTACTGGGTACATACCCTTTAAATATCTAGGTATATACCCAGTAACTACCTGGTACATACTATGTAAGTGCATTGGTTATTATTCTGTATCCTGTAGCTATGTACCCTGTAACTACCAAATAAATACTTGTTATTTACCGTGTAAGTACATGTATCCTGAAACTACCAAATACACACATTGTAAGTACAAGGTGACACTTGGTTATCTTAAGTATAAGGTACATAACTTGTAAATACTTGGTATGTACTGAGCTGTAACAAGTATTCCTACCAAATACAATAAAATAATTAATAGAAATCATGTTTTGTCCTGTCTAAAATAAATCACTACACATCACAATGGATCATTAGATCCTTTTGGATCAGATGTTGACCGGCTCAGGCAGTGTCAGTCTGGATCAGCTGCAGGGAGCGTGACCTCGGATCACCTTTCAACTCCTGACAGTCGTTCCGCATGCCACTCAAATCGTCTCTTTCCTCCAATAAAACTGGTACCGTCTCCTCATAAATCATTCTCATCACGTCTCGTTTAAAAACCTGTCTTCTCAGCTGAGAGGATTACCAGTAGATGTTACCAGTTGCCTCCATGTTTGTCAGAGCTGAGACACGAGCCCTGATGAGCTCCTTATGCATGAAGAGCAGAAAAGCTTTTAATCCACTTTCAGGTCATTCCTCCGTTAATCACATGTTGCTGCAGGAGATAAAGATCTCCAACGCTGCCCTCACCTCACAGCTGTCTTTGTCTCGCTTCTACTGGGCTATCTGATTAATTAGAGTGCATCTACTGGTTAATCTGGAACTGGTTTTTGGTGCGTCTCTGTGGAAAACGTAGACGGCCAGCTCGTTGGATACTTAAAGTAAAACTAACTCTTTTTAAAAACTATTTTCTCTTGTCATACGAGCAGGTGAAGGTGCGGAGATGCAATGATGTGCATATCTCATAAACCCATTTTTTGTTTACAAATAAACAAAGTAAACGTCTCGAATGTTGACACTTGAACATTTTAACTTGTTTGAAAAATTTAAGATAAAGCTGAATGTTATGGAATCATCACATCTAAGAAAATGTAGTTCCAGCTCCAAGTTTCCCTCTGTGAAGCATTCCTTCTTCTTTTAACAAGAGTCTAAACATCCAGGACCTGAGGAGACCAGTTGTTGGAGGTTTTAGAGGACCTGAGGAGACCAGTTGTTGGAGGTTTTAGAGGACCTGAGGAGACCAGTTGTTGGAGGTTTTAGAGGACCTGAGGAGACCAGTTGTTGGAGGTTTTAGAGGATCTGAGGAGACCAGTTGTTGGAGGTTTTAGAGGACCTGAGGAGACCAGTTTTTGGAGGTTTTAGAGGACCTGAGGAGACCAGTTGTTGGAGGTTTTAGAGGACCTGAGGAGACCAGTTGTTGGAGGTTTTAGAGGACCTGAGGAGACCAGTTGTTGGAGGTTTTGGAGGACCTGAGGAGACCAGTTGTTGGAGGTTTTGGAGGACCTGAGGAGACCAGTTGTTGGAGGTTCTAGAGGACAGGAGGAGACCAGTTTTTGGAGGTTTTGGAGGAATGTCCATTCTGGACTGTTCCAACAGTCCTGGCTGTGAGCAGATGTTGTTCTAAAACCTGTTTGTACGTTTCTGCACTTATGAAGCCTTTCCAGATGTGTAAGCTGCTCATGCTAGATGCACTCATGCACCCCCATACCATCAGAGAGGCAGGCTTTTGAACTGTGTGCTGATAACAGTCAGGATGGTCCCTCACCTCTTTAGTACAGAGGATGTGGCAGCACGGAAGCTCAGTGGTTAGCACTGTTGCCTCACAGCAAGAAGGTCCTGAGTTCAATCCCCGGTTGGACCTGGGGTCTTTCTGTGTGGAGCTTTCAAGTTCTTCTCGTGCTTGCGTGGGTTTTCTCTGGGTACTCCGGTTTCCTCCCACAGACCAAAAACATGCATGTTAGGCTGCCTTGAGGTCCAGGCCCCCCATGTAAAAGAGATCTGCCATCTCAGTGGTTAAATAAAGGTTAATAAATAAATAACGTGGACACTGTGGGTTTAGTCCAGTAGTCCTCAGTCCAGTTTAAATGAGCTTTGATCCAGAGAAGACCGCAGAAGTTCTGGATGGTGTTCACATCTGGCTTCTTCTTTGCCTGATAGAGCTTTAAGCAGCATTTGTGGATGAACTGTGTTTACAGAAGATGATCTGTGGAAGTGTCCCTGAGCCCAGAACAGAACCAGACCTGTTTGTGGTGCAGAGGCCCCTGAGGGCCCGATGATCACGACCATCCAATATTGACTTTCAGAGATTTCTACAGATTTTTCAAATTTGTTGATGAGATGATGAACTGGAGATGATGGAGATTCAAAGTCTTCCCATTGTTTTTGTTGAGGAACTTTATTCTGAAATTGTGTCACTCCTTTAGATGCAGTTTATTCACAGAATGCTAAACCTCTGCCCATCTTTACTTCTAAAAGTCTCTGTTTATAGCCGCTCCTCTTAATGACCCGTTGACCTAATAGTTGTCAGGCCGTTTATTTGTTCCACTAATGTTTACAGATTTTTGTTGCCCCTGTCCCAACTTTTATGAGTTGTTGCTGCAATTATATTCAAAATTACCTTCCCCCCCAAAAAAAATATATTTTTTGTTTAGTTTTAACATTTGACATGTTCATTATGTTCCATTGTGAATAAAATTCGGGTTTCTGAGAATCACTGCAAACTGTTTTTAACATTTTTCACAACTTAAGTTTTTCCTGATGGGGTTGTAGTTCAGAACAGGTCTTACCCCTCAGGTCCAGCTTGATCTGGGTTTGCAGGTGCAGCTGTGGGGGCTGGAGCTGAGGCAGGAGCTGGTGTGGGGGCTGGTGTGGGGGCCGGTGTGGGGGTCGGTGCTGGGTCTGGAGTTGCAGCTGGTGGTGCAGGACCTGGATCTGGGGCAAAGAAACAAAACCCAACCCTATCATAAAGCTGCACCTTGTGTTTGAAATTTAACTTTGTTAATCTTTACATGTATCTATCGTTTATCCCAGGGTTCCCAACACAGGTCCTTGAGGAACACCATCCTGCATGTTTTAGTTGTTTTCTTGCTCCAACACACCGGATTCAGTGATTTAATTACTTCATGTTCTGCAGGAGCCCATTAATCACCCATTCATTTAAATCAGATGTGTCAAAGCAGGGAAACATGCAGCATGGTGTTCCTCAAGGACCAGTGTTGGGAACCATTGGAATATGGTTTTAAATGTTCACAAACGACTAATTATTTTGCTAAAACTATAGACAAAAATAAAGAAATCAATTACTAATAGTAAATAAATATGGTCACAATGTATGTGGCTTAAGTTAAGACAAAGTACAATGGACAGTGCAAACAATAAATGTTTCACTCACTCGCTGGTTTTTCCTCTTTCTTGTCTTCATTTTCTTTATCGGCTGGTTTCTCCTCCTGCAGAACAAACCGGCATTTTCCACAGAATCACGAGCTTGATTTAATCAAACCTCAACCGTCCGGCTGAATTCAACTCGTAATTCAATTACTGGAACATCTTGAGAAGAATGAACGCTTTCAACCCATTTAAACTAAACATCAAAAGACTTTTAAGAGGAGCATTTTTAAAGGAAGACTTTACCTTAGCTGGAGCCGGAGCCGGAGCCGGAGCCGGAGCCGGAGCCGGAGCCGGAGCCGGAGCTCCTCTTGTGGTTCCAGTTTCTTCTGGCACCCAGGGACCTTTAAACAGGCCCCTCAACTTGGCGAACATCTTTAAAACACTAGAAGGACATCAGTTCTTCTGTCTGAGACGAGTGCGTCGATACGAGAGGAGCTGAGTGATCCCCGCTGCAGCTTGACCCCTCATTAGCTGCCTCTCCACCTGCTGCTCGACGTGTCCCTATGACCGGGCCGGGCCTGATGGCATTACTGCATTTAGCTGCACTAATGCTCTCGCTCAGAGGAAAGTCCACAGCATCACCGCTGACATGTAAGCCCACGGCGATCTCATTTAGGACCCAAATAGGCTTACAGGCGAGCACGACCTGATCGCAACAGTCACAGCGGTGGACTGTGACTATCAGAACCGGGCCTTCGCGTAGGATTTAACGTTGTTGCAGCCTGATTCCCTGAAAACACTACGAAGGTCCGACCACGGTGCCCCGCTCATCAAAGTCTTTATGCATCAGGTGCGACATATGGAGTCACTTCTTTACAGCCACGATTTAAAAACCTGAACATAAATGTCAACCCAACAGGGTCAGCCCAACAGAACACAAAACCTGACGGAGTCCACCCACTTCTGTCCCAAGATTACCCAGCAGCCCCTGCGGCTCATCTGGTCTATTGCATTCAAGTACAACATGTAATTTCAACAATTCAGCCTGAAATTTAACAAGTCGTCAATGGTTTGTGTCTTGTTATAGCCTATTTCATGTAACTGTGTGACTTAAGTTGTCTGTTAGCAAAATATCTCATGAACCACTGGTCACATTTGAATGAAACTCTCAGATAGTAATCAATAGATGTTTTTAAATCAGTCTAAGTTAAGATGGCCGCCAAATCTAATCAACTTTAGCAGAAACAAAAATGTTAATAACTCGATCAGTTCAACAGATATTGAAATATAATTTGATGTGGTAGTATCTGAGAGTTATCCCATTACATGAGCGATAACGGAGGATCTTTGTTTCAAAGGTTAACGTGCAGGGTGGCGTGTGAGCTTCTTTTTAAAAAGCAGTTTTTCTGTAAAGACAGTTTGACTCGCTAAAGTCCACCCAGAAAATAAAATTTCACTGAAACACTCATTTTTACATTTAAGTTTATGCCTAAACAGCAGAGATATTAAGATTAACATAAAACGTTGTTTCATTAAAACTAATAAAAAAAAATAAAAAAATCCACATTTTTGTTCCCTAATACAATTGTTGACGCGTCCATAAATGTATTTTTTAAGAAAAAATGTGTTTAAACAGCCGAAGTGACTGAATATACAGTCAATTTAAATAACTTTGTTTATCTACACAGACTACAACCAGGTCAGTCATGTGACTCAAGCTTTAATGGGTTTTTAGCTGATTCAGCTTTGTTTACATTTAATGCGTACCCGCACATCTAGAAAACAACCCAAGTGAAACTTTACCACCTGACTCACTTCAGGACAAACGTTAATCGTCTAAATGTTTATGAAGCGTTCACACTATTGTCATCCATTTTTCTTTCGTACGTTTTTTAGTGTGATTCTCGTCCCGCAGTTTTCAATCTATTTCAACAAATCATAAATCAAAACGTTCAGCTCGTTCAGGAGAAGGGTGCTATGACTTTTGGTTTTGGTGCAACTTTAGCTTTTTGAAATATTTAGCCTTTTCTGCCATTTTTTTTTTCTCATAGAAAATTAATTGAGCTCATTTTACATCCTTCAAATCTTTAGATCTGTTTACAACCTTTTACTGCTACTTTCACGTTTTGTTCTGCTTCAGCTTCTTTCAGCTTCCTTCTGCAAATAAAAAAAATCAGCTGTTTTCAGCTAATTTCAGATTCTTTCTGCTAATGACATTTTTTTGTGCTTCTAACTTCTTTCTGCTAATTGCAGCTTGTTATGCTCATTTCAGCTTATTTCTGAAAGTTTCAGTTATTCCAGCTATTATTTAGCCGTTTAATGCTACTTAGCTTTTTCAGCTAATTCTTCATGTTGGCACTCATTTAAATTTTTTTCAACATAATTATCCACTTTCATCTGGCAATTTAAGTTTATTTCTGATTTTTAACTACTTTTCAGCTGATTTTTGCTAATAAATCTTTTCAGATAATTTCCACTGTGTTCATCTCTTGTTTTTGTTTTTCAGCCTAAGTGGGCAAACGTGTGTTCTTTCTGCTTTATTCTGCTTATTTAAGCTTGTTCTACCTTTTCAACTACCTTTTTAGCATTTTTTCCACCAATTTCAGCTGTTTTCAGATAAATTAAAAGTTTTCTTGGTAATTTCTGCTTCTTTCAGCTAAATTAACTTATTTCTCCTTTCAGCTTTTTTCTGCTAGTTTCAACTTTTTTGCTATTTCAGCTACTATTTAGCTGTTTTTATGCTAAATTTAACCTTTTAAGCTAATTCCACATTTTTCAGCTCATTTCAGCTCTTTCTGCTTCCTTCTGGTAGTTTAAGCTTCTTTCTGCCTTTTCAGCTACTTTTCAGCTTTTTTTTTTTTGGTTAATTTACAAATTTCTGTACTCATTTATGCTTCTTTAAACCAAATTAAGCAAATATGTGTTCTTCCCATCTTCTGCTAATTTAGGCCTGTTCCTCCTTTTTTAACTGCATTTCAGCAGTTTTTCAGCTAATTTCAGCAGTTTTTCAGCTAATTTC